CTGACCCGCTGCGCCGGGGCGGCACGCTGCTAACCCAGCAGTACGGGTCCGTGGTTGCAGGGTCGCTCCGCGCCTTTCCATCAGTGAGGGTCGGAGCCGCTACTCCGGAGCTAGCGCATTGTGGCCCCAGGCTCTCGACTCCGGTGCACGGGACCCCGGACGCCCCCAGCCTCTGGCTCCACGAGACCCCAACCTTCAGTTGCCTCCACCCTAGTGCTTCGGCCTTGGAACAGCGCGAGTGCCCAGGAAGCTCCGGCCGGGTCGTGCGCTCCGTGAGGGGTCCTAGGCAGGCAGGACAGTCGGACCGAACGGCCGGGCTGGTGCCACGAACCCAGGCTGCCACCTGCCTCCCGCCTCAGGCGAGGGGCTCAGTGCCTGTCCCGAAGATAACACAGGGGTCTCCTTCTGTCCCGTCGGCCCGCGAGAGCCAAGGCTGCAGGTGAGAGCCCCGGATGCGGGGCAGAAGCGGTCCCCGACCCCATCGCAGCAGCGCGGGGGCCAGCGGAGGGAGTCTCGGGGGGAACAAGCAGAGGCTGGAACTGGCTGGGAGGGGGCGCGGGAAGGGGAGGGGAAAGAAAGAAAACGGGCTCTTATTGAGCGCCCATTGTGTGCGGGTCCGCGCCCCGCCACGCCCCGCCTAAGGCTCACTGCTACTCCTGAAATAGGTGTTGTGTATTATTATCGGCGCTTGCAGATGGAGAAACTGAGGCTTAACGGGGCTGAGTGATCTTCTCCTTTCACTGCGGGGAGGAGACTGGGGAAGCGGGAGAGGATAGAAGGGGAAGAAGCAGCGCACCTGAGCGCTGATCCTAAAGCTGAGGAAGTGGCTTTTTTTTTCTTGCCTCCCGCTCCCTGGCCTTGTCACCCCCCAGGAAAGGTGACTCAGAGTTGAGGGCAGAGGTGAGAAGCTTCCTAGTTCCAAAGCTTCTCTCCCTGTGGGCCCAGGATGTGAGAGCAGCAGCTCCTGGCCGTTGTGTGTCAGACTCCAGGGTCTCTAAGACACTCTGGAGATCCTGAGATGTGCTTATCTGTTGGTGAATTCACTGCAGAGATCCCCAAGTAAGGGTCCATCAGAGCTGGAGATGTGACCCCTCTGGGGTGGCTGGAGACGTGGCTCACGTGGCTCACCTCCCTCACATTACTAATGGGGCCACTGAGGCCCACCCGAAGGGAGTGTCAGTTATCCGGTCCTAAAGACAGTGAATCCTTGATCCAGAAGTAGACTTGAGAAAACCTTCGTGAGCATCCTTCAAAGTATCCGTACTCCTCCCCAGTTAGGATCTTCCGGATAGGTGGCTGGGGCTTTCCCTATCCCTGATGTGAGATCTGGGCGACCATGTATGAGGCTGTGGTGAGAATCAGTGTGGTTGGTGCAGGGGCCCCAAGGAGTGCCCGCAACCCCATAGCCTTTGGCCCAAATGGAAGGTCCAACCTAATTCTCTTCTGGGCAGGGAAACCTGCAGGACACCTCTGCCCAGGAAGGAAGGGACCTGCTCAAGGTCTCAAGGCTGGGGGCTCCCAGGGCTGGGGCACAGTCCCAGGTGTCTTGATTCCCAGGCAGGGGATGCTTCTGCTGCCCCCGAGGCATGTAGGGAGAGGGGCGTTGTGAAAGAGCCCTTGCCGTGACTCTGTGGGCTCTTGTTCTGTGTGGGGAAGGGGAGGGGATCTGGCCCTGGTCTGGGCCCTGTGGCCTTGGCTAGGACTGGTTAACCCTAGATGTGCTCAACTCCCTGGAGTCAAGGGGAAACCTCCTTGGAAAGCCCCTGGAAGGTGGAGGAGGGTGGTGAGAGGTCAGTGGAAGTCTGAAGCTCAATCCCTGGGGGTAGAAGGGTTAGAGGAACCCAAAAGAAAAGGTGACTGAGGGGCTTGGGATTCCCTCTACCCCCTACCTCCATCCAGGGATTCAAATCCTCCCTCACAATAATCTCTACATCTAAACAAAGCTCTTTGAGGAAATAATTTCACACCTGTGATCTCCTTTCATGATGTGGAGAGAGCCTGGAACCTGGAGTGAAGCAGAAGAGGGTTGCGGAGTCACCTGAGACCTCTTGATGCATCCATGGTTCCAAGTGCCACCTTAAAATTGATTATGGCAGGCTGTGTGTTACCTGCTCAGTTAGTGGGGCCATCACATCTGACAGTTAAGTGCTAAGGAGTGTGTCGTACTTGCCAAGACTGGGGTAGTTATTAACGGCCCAGTCTTGTGTGGGAAACTGAAGCTCAGATAGGTAAAACCACTTCCCCAGGGCCTTTGAGTTTGCTTGTAGAACTGTTTAAGTGCCAACTGCATACCAGGTGCCCTGGAAGTTACCCCGACGGGCTAAGCGGCAGCCTCGAGCCACAGTAACTGGTGAGCCCCAGATAGTGGTGAATCAGACAGACCAGGTGGGCGTGAGTCTACTCTGCCTCGCACTAGCTGAGTGGCACTGAGCAAATCACTTCATCCCTCTGAGCCTATAAAATTAGAATACCTCCTTTAGCAGGTTGTTGTGAGGATTAAATGAGCTACAAAGATGTAGTGCCTGGCCAAATATCTGTTTCTATCCCTATGAAGAAAAGAAAGCTTGAAGTTTGACCAGGAAGTCTAGGGAAATTATCAGACTTGTTTTAGATTAGAACGCAGGATATTGTTGCAGGCTCAGAGACCTGAATTTGCTCAGCTCAGGCTGCTAGTCTCATAGCCTCTAGAATCAGTCTGCTTGGGGACACTGGCAAGGGGCTCTGGATTCTTACCTCCTCCCTTGGCTTCCTGCTGGCAGGGCTGTGCTGCCTGGAGCTGGTGTCCATTCCCTCAGGTCCATTGTCTGACCTCCCTAGGCACCTAGGTGCGGTGAATAATGTATTACTCCCCTCAGCTGGGGGCAGACTCAGGGAAATAGCTCTATGCTCAGTAAGCTTCTGAACCCTACCAGAGGAGGTGGGGGCTCCTGTCTGTGCTGTTAGCAGTCTTGGATATGGAGGGGCAGGCAGGATAGGACAGGGAGAAAGTATCATCTGGCCCCCAACAGAAGAGAGCTGGGGTTGATGATGTCCTGTCTCTCCTGTTGGGGGCTAGATGGTCCCATAGGCAACACTGGGAACCAAGCTAGCTGAGCTAGGATCAAGTGGGCCTCTGATTCCAGAGAGGTGGTGAAGGGGAGGAGTAAGGGGGAGGGTACAGGGCAGAAAGGGGGTGGAGGGGAGGCCCTTGAGGAAAGGCTTTGTCAGGGAGGTGGCTGTCTGGGCAGGAGCTAGAGGCAACTTGCTGCAGAGATGGGGGATCCTGACATCCCTCCAAGAATGAATCCTGGCTGTGCCACCATCTCACTGAGAGCATGGGCAAGACACACGATCCCACCAGGCCTCCATTTCCTCTTCTGTGAAATGAGGGTCGTGATGTCCACTTCTCAAGGCTGTTACGGATGATCTTGAGGTCCCATGTGTGAAACACATGGCACTATAGGCACTCAACAAAGGGGTGCCTCATCATGAGTGTGAACCATGGGTGGGCTAGTGGCGGGGCAGGTGGGATAGTGTGGTAAGCTGAGAGATGGGGAGAACTTGGGGCGAGGAGCCTGGCTTGGTGGGGTTAGTGAGGGATGAATGCCCATATGGGAGAGGGCCTTGAATTTGGACAGAACTCACATTTCAGAAAGCTTAATGGAGCCCCCATTTAGAAGCCTCTGTGGCTCCTTACAACCTGTAAGATGAAGACCAGGCCCTAGTTATGGCATTCAGGTCCTTGGTCGCCGTAGCCTCTGCCTGGCCCTCTGGCTCATTGCTCTACACTGTCTCCTAAACACACCACATGTGGCCCCATCGCAGCCCCTTTGCTTGTTCCTCCCATCACAACCGCCATCTCTGCCTCTTCTCCACTTATCTCCCCACCTGTCAAGACCTGACTCAGGTCATAAATTCCCTCAGAAACATTCCTGGATTACCCAACCCTCTGGTCATGCCCCCTCTGAATCTTTAACATTCAACAGTAATAGTAAAAAATAATACCTACCATCCATAACATTTTGCAGTTTGTAAAATATATCCACACAATACTACAGTGATGATATCAACAACAGCTGATACTCTTGAGTACTTACTATGAGCCAGACAATGTGCTAAATGCTTTATAGACACTCTTGTTCACCCAAACTCCCCGAGGTAGCTACTGTTATCCCCTAGAAATGGGCTCAGAGAGGTACCTTATCTTTCCCAAGGTCACACAGCTTGAAGGTGGGGAGCAGGGAGCCAAGCTGCACCTGTTTGAATTGTAAATCTGTGCTTAGAAGACGTACTGTCTCCTCACCTCCACCCAACTACCTCGAAAGCATACTTTGTATGTAAAAAGCCTGGACAAGGCTTTTTCTCAAGGCTATGGAAGGGTAGTGTTGAACTGAGCATGGCACCCAGGAAGGACCTGGGCCCTAGGCTGTGCGCAGACTGGCTGGCTGGCTGGCTGGCGTGAGTCGGCCCCTCTCTGGGGTCCTGTGTGTCCATGTCTATGGGGAGCAAGGTGGGGTCTGAGCTCCCCTGTAGCTCCAGCTTTCTACAGTGTCTTTCGTGACCCTGGAAGGAGGAGGAGGAGACTACAGTACCAGGGCCAGAGGATGTGGTGTGACAGGCAGCTGTGATTTTTGGCCTGGCCACTGTCTGGGCCAGCAGGCTCTGTGGGTAGCTGCCTCACCCAAAGGAGGGTGGTGGCCTGAGCTGCAGGCAGCATGGTCATTAGCTGGCAGAGGAGACCCTGTGATTGGGAGCTGGCTGGGCCAGGCCAGGCCAGGTTGGCGGGACTGGAGGCAGGCTGGCCGGGCCACAGTGGGGTCACTGGCAGGGCAGCCAACTTCTCCTCCCTTTGCCCCCTTTGGGGTGGTGGCAAACCCACACTGGGCACCAGAGCTTTGTAGGCCAAGGCTTACCCTTTCTCCTGCTGTGACCATGGGAAAGAGCAGTAAGGAGTTCAACCAGGCCCAAAGATGCTGCCTCCTATAAGCTTCCAGGACTCCTCCCATGCAGGTGGGATCCAAGCCTCCCCTGCTGCTGATTCATGGCCATCTGCACACTGACTGTGGTCTGTGGATTGGGGTTCTGCTTGGTCTGCTTCCCTTGCTGGCTTGTCAAAACTAGATTCTATGTGCCCCCCCATCCTCCCCTCCCTCTGAGTGCCTAGAAGTGTGCCTGGCACAGAACCACACCCTCCGGACCAGGGGAGACAGTGCGAGCTGCCCTGTGGACAGCTTGCTCAACTTTTGCACCTCTGTTTTTTCCCTGTAAATTGGGGCTGATAATAACTGTTATTAAATGAGATGAAGGAAGTGGGGTGCCTGTCCAGGCCTGGCACACAGGTGGGTACTCCATCAGCATGAGTCCTCTTGCCCATCCCCTCAATGGCTTTGGCAACTCAGTAAGAAATTGATGGAAGAGTCCAGTGAGAGATGGCAGGAGGGAGGGCATGCCAGGTAGCAG